CAGGCAATGCGCCTTCGCCATTAAATCAAGGCTATGCGCCTTCGCCAAGAAGTTCAGATACAGTTGAACCATGACTCAGGCTACGCGCCTCCAAATTGCATCAAGCCTGTGCGCCTTCGCCAGTAAGTTTAGCTACGGTCGAACCAAGACTCAGGCTACGCGCCTTCGCCATCAAACCCAACGAGTTCGACCTCTCTTGAACCATAAGGCTAGACGCCTTCGTCCTCAAATCTAACGAGTTCAACCACAGCTGAACCAGGACTCGGACCAAGCGCCTTCATCATTGAACTCAGCGAAACCCAACCTCCAACGAATCGAGGCGTGGGGTAGGCGCCCACGCCCTTCAAGTAAGTACTCCCAACTCAAACTAAGATTGGGGACACGTAAAGTCCGGCCCCGGTCAAACTACAAGGCCGCGCTTCTGTCATCACGGCCGACAGTTCGACCGCGCCCGAACTGGGACTAAGGCTAAGTGCCGCTATCGCCAAGCAACGGCTTCGACTCGCTCACCCCGAGTCGAAGAAGAAGAGTCGTTAACAATTAAAAACTAACATGCCTGCCAGAGTCGAACTCGAAGGCAAATCACCCCTTCGAGCGCATGCAAAGAAAAATCTAAGGGGGAAAAAGAGGAGGTACAAAACAGATACAAGGCAAATAACGGAACGGAGATCTCATTTATCCACGAAATTAATTGCGGGTCATCCCCGCTTACACCCGGCCAAGGCCGATCAATACAAGGAATATAAAAAAAAACAAGAAACACCTAAACGCCAAACGGCGAACAAGACAAGAAAAAATGCATAACATCTTTTTACTCGGTGTCGTCTGCGCCACCATCTGCACCAGCGTCAGCCTCTGGCGTCGCCGCGTCAAAACCACAGTCGGCACGGGCCTCACGAGCCTTTTGACGCGCCCCCTCGAAAGCAGCTTCGGTCACGACACCGGCCTCCCACAAATTCTTATATACATCACGTTGGGCCTCGGCAAAGACCCAAAGTTCTCGAGCCTGGCTGGAAGGAGCTGCTTGATCCCGTAGGCGCTGATTCTCTTCTTCTAAGGCTGTGATCCGGTCCGCCATGACTTGGGCGTCCTGCTCAAAGACACAAATCCGCTCCTCGAGACTCGCTTCTCTAAAGGCCGCAACATCCCTCTCCAATGCCTGTTGGGATTCGTGCACGCGGATAGCTTCCTTCAACGCCCCAGCCCTCGACGAGGCATCCCTCACTTGAAGCTTCAATACCGCGACTTCACCCTCCAACGCAGTCACTTTCCCGCTCCATGCCGCAGCGGCCTCCGCCGCCTTAGCCTGGACCTGGCGCTCACGCTCAGCTGCAGCCCTTCTCCCCGCCTCAAGCTCCTCATCCTTCCGCCGGAGCTGCTCCTCGAGAGCACTCGCTCCGCCAAGTGCTTGCTGCATCTGAAGCTCCCGCCTCGCCAGTTCCTCGACCAAGGTCCGATTACGGGGATCATTCCTCAAGCGCACGCGCATCTCTCGGCACCGATCTCGGTAGCGGTGGTACTTCTCCAGCGCCCGCAAAAATATCCCCGAGCGGACGTTGGCTCGACGGATGCTCTCCACCTCCAACAAATAAGACTACAAAGCAAAGACAACGATTAAGATAAAGTTCAAACTAAGATGAAAAAGAAGCAAACCGACATTATATTACATACCCTCAAGCCCATCACAGCCACTTCGTTCATCAGTCCGACATCCGTGACGCCCCTCAATGACGCGTTCTCGGCCTCCGAGCACAGCAGCTCAAGCTGCGGGACCAAGCTACTCCCCTGGAGCAATAAGTTCAACTCCGTGGGAACCTCAATGAAGCGAGATCGCCCCTCTACGCGCACCGCTGAATTGGTGAAGCCTTCCTGGAACATACGGACGTCGTCGGAGTCCAAGTCGGATTCAGACTCGTACTCACCCTCTACAGCATCTCTTCCTCCTTCAGCCGCCGGCGAGGTGGAACCTCCCGCCGCAGCCGCCAAAGGAGTGCTTAACTCACCAACATTACCAGCCGCTGAGGAACTACCTCCCGTCTCAGCGACTGGAACCACCGACTGAGCCGCCGAAGCGACGGCATCCTCATGGCCCAAGCCAGCCAGGGCAACCCCCATTGACTGTTCACCCTCAAGAGCAGGCGCCGCGACCGCACCCCTCTCCGCATCCGTCGGAGGAGAGTCCAAATTAATTACCACAGGAGGAGCCGGCGTGAACACGACCCTACGCCTTATCAACGACCTCTCCTCTTCCCCGTCTGATGCGATTCCGCCCTAGGGCGCACAACCCCTGACGGCCCCTCGTCCCGAAGTACGGCCCGTGCTGGAGAAGGAACCGCTGAAGATTCAACTAATGCCGCCCTCGGAATTGGGCGCGACACCGGCGCCGCAGTAAGTCGAGCGATTTCACCCGGCCGACGGAAGGCCAACTGAGGGGCCCTGACGCGGCGTGCCCTCCCTGATCACAGAAAAACAAAGTTGAGGAATAGTTTCGAAACAAAGCGGAACTGAAGAAGAAGTCAATTTTTCTTACCTGCCACAGGTCTACGGCCATGCCTCTCCCAGAAAGACGCCCATGTGCGTATCCCCACCGTATGGGGAAGCACGGCCTCAACCCACTCACGAATCCCAGCCAACGGAGCCGGCGGCGACTTTTCGGCTACAAAATTGATACGAGTTAACGTTTATGAGCACAAGACGTAAGGAGGGGCAAAAAAGAGAATTCGATGACTAAGGAACTTACGTGCATGATTCCAAGCCTCTGGGAATCCAGTAGAGCACGCCACTAAATGTTCCATCCTGATGTAGAAGAAGTGCTCGAAAGGGCGAGGGTCGACCTCATCATCCAGCTTCGCAGTCAGGCTCCTCGTCCCGCGAGGGCACGCTCGAATCATGGTACCGTGAACTCTCTGGGGAGCGTAGAGGCTAAGCACATGCTGCAGCGTGACCTCCCTACCAGCCAATTCTGCGTATTTGATGAGCATTGCTAATAATTTATAAAGAGAAGGAGTAAGCTGACCCGGACATACCCCGTAATAACGACAAAGATCAACCACCAGCATTGGGAGCGGGAGCTTAAACCCCAACTTGAAGGGATAGGCGTAAAAAACGCAGTATCCCCTACGGTTGGTGTGGACCCTCTCCTCGCTTCTAGCGAGAATGACGTCAGCATAGCAGGGGATGACCCCCTGTCCCCGTAGTCGGGACATCCCAATCTCCCCCAGTAATGGGGCTTCATCCACCTGATCCTCCCCACCATCGGCGGTGAAATCAGTCATCAGACCTCCGGGCAGAGGTACTATCTCGTCAACCGACGGGGCTTCACCGGTCTCCACCAGTTCTGCATCGCCCATTGCTGGAAATGGCCTCTCGGTCACCGGTGAGTTAACCGGAAAATCCGTCAGAAGAACGTTTTGGGAAGAAATGCCTGCCATTGCTGATACAATAACGAGAAAGAAACAAAGTTTGGGGGACGAAGACGAAGGTGAAACAACAGTAAGAAAAGCTTCTTCAGAATCTCTCTCAGACAAACAATGAGAATATAAAAAATGAATGCCTCAGCCTTTATTTATAGGCAACGCAAGTGGCCTTCATGCACCCCAACAGCCACCATTAACTACATGACCAACCGCACACCGGTTCGATTCCATAGGAATGTGCGTCATTATGACAGGCTCCATAAAGCAGCCTTGCAATCACCGATCGGCGTCTCGCCCTCGAAATGGTTGTAACGACCTATGAATGCCGAGGAGATGCTCCCTGCGCCCTAGAATTTTTTTGACATCGCCAAACACGTATCAAGCTTGCCCTCACTCCCCTCGGCCGCACAACATACGACCCGTCCGCCATGGTCGACGGGTATGCACCCAAAACAAACATAAGGATCAGAGCACAATGAAGCTCAACCTCACTCGAAGTGAGTTAAAAGGTCAAGCGCCTTCGCCGAGGAAGAGAGTTCGACCTCGATCGAACGATGACTTCATAGCACAACAACAAAATACTAATACTCTACAAGGCTAAGGGCCATCGCCAAAGAGAATCCGGCCTCGACCGAAGCAACAGTCGACCTCCCTATCCGAGTTTCCCAAACTACGGTCGATGGAATCCACTCATCGAGCTCGGCCAAGGCCCGACCTCAATAAGCGGAGGGACTAACTGTATGGGTCAGAATCCGACCCCACGATAACTAACGAAGCTAATCCCGTCTTAAGCTAATTCATGATTAATTAGTGGTACGACCACTCAGAACTAACGATATTCAACCCGCATCTGATTCGATCAAGCAAGGCCATGGCCCATCCGCCACCATGAAGGCGAAACCCCAACGTGGTCACGGCCACTTATTGCCAGCTCACGAAGCTCACAGCTATAAATACCAAGAGAGGAAACCCTTGAAAAGGGGGGCTTCTTCTTCTTCACTATTGACAAGAGAAAAAAGCAGATAGCGAGACCCATATTCTGGGCAAAGGGAACACCATTGTAAGGCTCTGAACCTCTTCATGGAGAGGCAGACCAAACCAATATTATCAATAAAGGCTTCTAATGTTTTTCCCCCTAATCCTGAGTATTTATTTTTGTCTCCTTCATTTGGTCCAATGGATTATTACGTTTTGCTATGATTTTCCCGTGATTTACTCTCATTGTTTTACACTCATAAGATATGCGATAACTTGTGAGCAAACAGGCACTCTTAATTTTCCGCACCATGTGTAAAGTGCATCAGACTATTATAACGAAACACTCCTATATACTAGTCAAAATGAATTGACGTTGAACCGAACACCTAAGGGTGTGATTTAGTGGCCAATAAAACTACGAAAGATGAAATAAAAACATGCCATGTGATCTCTTCCTATCTTAAGTATTGGTGAACAAAATTACTCGATACTGTGTAGGTGAAAAATAATATGTACTCGGTGCCATGGTCGAGTGAGCATAAGCTGGTTCGGACAGAACTGCTGTCAAAGAAGAAAAAGAAATTGATGTTGAACCAAGGCATCTAATTGAGTCTCTTACACTACCAATAATTTTATTAGTAACTCATAACCACAGGTATCCAACAATTACAAGTGAATTGACCAATTCTTCATATTGATTTCATCAAAAGGATTGGGAGTTAGTATTTCAAGATCAGCAAAAAGACCTTACAACAAAGACAGAAAAAGTTAAAATCAAGAATCATTGCTCAGAAACAGAACAAGAAAGGGAAAAAAAAAATATGGCAGCCCAGTGCACGAAGCATCCCCAAGAGGGTGTGAAGCAAACAGCCTAACCTAACCAGATGCAAGCATTAGCGGCTGATTCTATCTGTGATCTATAGGTCACACAGAGACAACTTTACCGTTGTTCTAAGGCTCCGCTTCCAACATAGCAGCCCGAGCACTACAACAAAATGGAGAATATGATCCTTTGACTAGCATAGATGAGAATTTGCGGATTATTTCAAGAATATGGAAACTAACTTATACGAGGAACAATCTCAAGACTCCTTTGAACTGCTTGAGGTCTCATCTTTCCAAGATGCTTGCCATTGCTTGTCGTAGAAAGTAGTCTCTTCCACCAACTTTTTGATAGTTTCTATATCCTCATTCTTGCGGATTAGAAGAACACCGGCTACAGCTACAAACAATAGTGTTTTACAGAAGAAGTTTCCCATTTGATCGACGAGGCCTACACCAGTCAAGCTATCCACAAAGTAGGCCATAAAGAAACCAACCATTGCAGCACGACCTGTGTATAAGATTCACATCGATCAGCTTAATCCTATTATAACTACTGCTTTGTATTTGAAAACATGAAATAATTGCAAGGAAAAATGAGTATGAGCGAACCATTGAGACGTTCAGCTTCAGGAAGATGAAACCTCTTCATCCATGCCCACCAAGGAATAATTGAGGTGTCGAAAAGCACAGGATCTTCATTACTTGATGACTCTGGGTTATCTTCTAACCATTTCCTTCTCCTAACCTCTGCAAATGAATAGGCATCAATTGTTAAATTGAGATAAATTGCCAAAATGGACGAAAAGGAGACATTGATAATGTCTATTACCATTATAAATCTTGAACAAAGCAAGCCAATGTATTATCGGGAAGGCGTCAAATGTAGGTAAACAATCCAAAAAAAGGTTTAAAGATTACAACTTTTTAAGTGTATTACCATACGATAGTGCTTAGTGAAGGCTTCAGACAATAATCTCAATGACACAGCCAAGCAAATGTTATCAACTTATAGTTAAGAAGTAACAACTGTATATGATCTATAATTGCATCAAACATACAGATAATTCTCACTCAAGAGTTCAATCAAAACCAGCAAAAGAGCAAGAATACGAATATCACCAATACCTTCTTGCCCATGGATCTCCACACGTTGTGTTCAGCCAACCTCACAAGAAAAGCTTAATACAAAAATTTTGCTCCACAAATTCTTAGTAGTTCTATTTCAAAGCTCATTTTCAATCTTTTATCTATTCATCTGCTCACCTGCTTAAGGTCCAAATGCACTTACTCGACACACTTCCAAATTATGCCTATTAATTTCCTTATTTGGGTTGACCAAAACTCAGCATTACACCATCTCTCAAAATATAGGATGGCATCCAAATTGAAAAATAACCAAGTCATATAGAAAACCGTTATGGCAGCATGCAGGCACACCCACTTTCAAATCAAACCAAGTCTATGCTGCTCGACACACCCTCAATCGGATACCATTTTGGAATGAGACACTTCAGCTGCACACCGGTTTATCAGAGTCTCAGCTTAATAGAGTGTGCAAGGTTGTTTAGTTAGCTATCACAGTATCACTATATGGCAGGAAACAAACGACAGAAGAACACCCAACATAAAGATGCACACTCCTCCATGTGAAATATTCATCTTCATAGGAGCTTTTTGATAGTAGTCGTGACTAACAACCATCAGCTCTCGGATTGTTGGTCCTTGAGAGCTTCAAGCCCGACTTCTGGTGGTGCACCCTCAACACAAGCACCACCAGACGAGGGGGGGGGGGGGAGCTACAGGATAACAATTCCGTCTTTCATTCTTTTTTGGCTAGTGCGCTGACCTACTCGCCTTCACCTAACCAAGGACGGAGCTTTTTAGGAAGGTTGCGCCTGGTGCCTAAACAGGAGACATCGCACCGGTATGCATTTCCCACGCAGACAATACAAGCTAAAGGTGATTTACAAGGAGTACTCAAGTAGTGAGAGAGGTGCTGTTGCATTACTAACTCCAGCCAAGTCCCTATCGGCTGCATCATCATGTGTGTCATCAGAGCAAGACGTTTCAGGCAAGAGCCCAGAAGAAACAGCAGCATCATCCTCCATGGTGGTGGTGATGGGTTGTCCAAGGTACCACATGTATGTCTTGGTAGCTGAAGCCGACCCAACATGCCCCAATGCAAGAGCACTACTCGGAGTACGACTTAATTTGGTTTCATCAATCAAGAATCCAAATTATGTTCTTTATTACTAGGTTCTATCCCCCCCCCCCCCCGTCCTCCCTCCCTCCT